AGATGCTAATTCACAATAAGGCATGGGGGAGAATAGTGGTATTTTGGACTAAACAGAGGGGAGTTAAGGGAGGGGAGGAGCCATGGGGATAGGAATGATAGTAGAATGAATCCAACATTATCACCCTATGTGCATGTATGATTACATGACCTGTATAACTCCACATCATGTACATCCAGATGAATGAGAAGTTATACTCCATTTATGTATGATGTGTCAAAATGCATTCTACTGTCATGTATAACTAATTAGAACAAATTTTTAAAAGTGCCTATTTTGCTGAATTACAAATGGAAGTCCAAAGCAGAGCCAGATTTTTTTATATAAAGACCACCATGATACACCGTTATTGCTTCACAAGGTGGAGTGGCTTTGGAAGGTGTGGTGAGGATGGAAGCTTTCCTGTGTTTCCTTTGCACTGGACCAGTATCCTGAACTGGAGAAAAGAACTTGGGACACACTTGGGCTGAAAGTTCTCTCCTTGTATAAGCAGTGTGCATGGAAGCATGTGTTGTACTTGTACAGGGTATCATCATGTTTCAGCCAATGTATCAGATGTATTTTGCTACAACAGAATAACTGCTTATATGGCACTGTGTGGGATATGGTGTTCCACGTGGTATTGAACTGGGATGACCTGTCAGAGCAAGGCATCAGGAAATCAGCATAGTGTTAAGTCAGACCTTATGTGTGATTGCTTATTCATTCATCTATTTATTTATTCAACAAATATTGAGTGTCTTTGATATTCTAGACATTAGCTTTAGAGTAGGGAAACAAGCAATATGCCTACCCTTGTGAAGTTTATGTTCTGTAGGGAAAGACTACACTAAAGAAATGTTTTAAATAAACAAGGTATCTACATAATTGTGTGTTATGAGGGCAATAAAGGAAATAAAGAAGATCCTTGTTAGAGAAGCCTTCTCTGAAGATGTCATACTTGACCTGAGATAATACCATATGCATAAGTTACATAAGTTAGCCAATGTCAAGGACAGAGTAAATACTAGGCAGAGGGAATACCAAGTACAAAGGCCCAAAGATGACAAAAGACTTGCCATGTTTGAGCAACAGAAGGGAGACCTTGAGCAAGAGAATAAGAATTGCCATTTGGTGGGGGCAAAACCACACAGGACCTGCCACCATTGTTTCCCACTTGGAGTACTGAAATAGCCACTGGTTGAAATTACAGTGGCCTGCACTAGTCAATGCAATGAGAGCAAGAGCCTGGAAGAATTTAAGATATATTTTGCAGGTTAGAGTGACTGACAGAGCTTAATGACAATGTCTGAAATGAGGAAAAGAAAAAAACCAAGATGCCGCATAGGTTTCTGCTTGAGCAACTGAGGAGAGATTATGGTGCCATTTTTCTGAGCCTTCAAAGCCTAATAGCTTGCCAGACCTCACTTAGCTAATACACTGAATTCTACTCTGTGTGAACTCACTTCTTTAGGATTTTTTAAAACTCAGGTGGCAGGCGTGGTCACACCTGTAATTCTAGCAACTCAAGAGGCTGAGGCAGGAGGATCAAAAGTTCAAGGCCAGCCTCAGCAACTTAGCAAGACCCTGTCTCAAAATGAAAAATAAAAATGGTGAGATGTGGCTTAGTGGTAAAGCACCCCTGGGTTCAATCCCTTGTACCAAAAAGGAAAATATAAAAACCTCTGTGAAATTATAAAGTTAAATTTCAAAGATCTTTTTTAGAGTTGCAAATAAATTTTCATCTATATTAAATTGTTAATCTAGAAACATTCTGATGTTCAGAATTAAGCAATATTGGCAAACCTATTTTTTTTTTTTTTTGGTGTGTGTGTGTGTTTGATTGATTGTAAATAAATGGTACTATAATGGAATAATTCATTTACCTCAAAGCAATAGCCAGAATACTGGGGATGTTTTATCTCAGCATACAAAAAAAGTGGTTTTCTGAATTTTTTTCCAGCCTAATACTTTTCTGGAATTTCTCAGCAACAGAGCAGCTTGTAAGAAAAATTAGATTATAAACTGTGTCCTACAAATATGGACTAAGACTGCAAAGCTTGAACAAAAAGGTGCTTGCGTAAAGCATCCTGGTTTGTTTCTGTTCTTGATATGCAGATACCCCTCACCCCCAGGTGCTCTGTAGCTTTATACAGATTATTTCTCTAGACTCACAAAGGACCCACCCAGGATACGGGCAGGGTTTTTCAGTAGAGAGGAAAATGGAGACGTTTGGGTTGTATATTTCTACTATTTGGTCTCAGACATTCTGGCCAGGTCGAAGACTCTTGCTAACATAGGTAATTCTTTACTAAAATCTGCATCATGAAATAGATCTTAACTGACCTATAGAAACTATGGCATTGTGTTCTTAACAAAAGCAGGTCATAAATCCTAAGTATATCGAATACAGCAAAGCAGACACATTCTAAATCTCTCATTAATAAGCCCCTTATAAGACTGTGCCCCAAAATCAATTAGGGTAATAATAAGGAACAACAACAAGTCAGGCTCAGAAAACCTCTCATAGAAAAGGCATTTCTTGTCTCACAGAACAAGACAGAGTAGTTCCAGGCTGGTTCTGCATTTCCATGATGTCCTTAAGGTCTCAGGCTCTTTACCTGTTTGCTTACCAACCCCTGCTTCTTGCCATACCACTGAAGCATGTTCCCTAACAGTGGCAGGAAAAGAGAAAGCCTTTCCCAAAAGCCCCTAGTAGACACCCCTTGAGTTCTTGTCCATGGAGCACCCAGTTTCCCTCATTTAGATCCAATAGTATTATTCTCAACTTTTCCTCTTCTCTCTTATTCCCCCCATTCTCTATGACCTATCTATTCTGATTTAAAAATCTTCCCCCTGTGTTCACTACATTAATTCAGACCCTCATTATCTGTTCTTACAGCTTCCAGTTTATATGTCTTCTACATTGCCACTGGAGTGTTCTTTCAAAATACAAGTCTCATTTTGTTACTATTCTGCTTAAAACCCTTCAGTTATTCTTAGTCACAGATAGGATTAAATTTCAATTTTTTTTTCTAACTGCAGTAATGACTCCTTTTCCCCACCTTTCAAATTAAGAAAAAAAAAAATCTTAAAGGATGGCTCAATACAGCTAACAGATGTAGAGTTACCAAGGTTGAAAAGTGGGTGGGAAAGGGGTCCATACCTCAGCCAGGTGGATCCCTTTTCTTCTGTTATGTGGAGGTCCCAGAGGCTTTCCCTGGAACAGCAGATAGAAAGAAATTCCTACTAGGCAGAAGGGTATGGACCTCAGGAGTGTCAGCTGTGCTAATATCATAGGCAAATGATATGGAATCTAAAGTCAGGGGAATGCTCACCCAGAGAGCATAGAGAGAAAGGAAGAGATTCAAAAGTTACATTGATACAATGCTCATAAACCATGTAACATCCAACAAAGCAGTGTTTCTGTTTCATATTTCAAACTTTAAGAATGTGTCTTAAAGGAAAATTTATGCTCTGATTATATCAGACAAGTTTACCCAATCAGATTCTTGAGAACAGAGTAAGGATAGCTACAGACCAAAAATGCAACTCATATCAAAACCTGAGATTAACAATTTACAGTTATTTGATTTGTGATGGGCTTTTGGTTTGATTGGTAGTGGATATTGAACCCAGGGTTTCAATTATGCTGGGCAAGAGTTCTAACACTGAGCTACATCCCCAACTCTCCAGTTTGTTTGAAATATGCTTGTGTTTACATTTTCGTTCTTATAGCTACTTTTTAAAAGAGGTACAAAATTGCTGTGATAACCAAAGAGAAAAGTCTCCATTTTCAAAAGGCTTTTCATATTAGAAATCCTGAGTTACAAATATTTCATGTCTTTCCATTTCTGATCAAGGTAGTTTTGTGTTAATTAAGCTTAAGAATAAAATTTCAAACAAATACAATAACCAAATATGTTAGTTATCATAACTATTCTCCTGCTACTGAAATCAACTTGCATTTATTTTTTGTTTATTTAAGAATTTAGTGTTTTTTGTTGTTCTGTGAAGACTAAACAGCTATTTAGATGCAGTTTACATTCTTGTTATGGAATATAACCTTCTTCATGAGGCTGGAAATGTTAATGAACAATTTTATCAAGTAAAGGAGCTGTCAATTTGAGGCAAGAGATGAATGATTATGAACTTTACAACTTATAGACAGTTGATATCATCAGAAAGGGAGGGAGGGATGGAGGAAACTGAAGGGAACTGGTCATGGCAGGCTCCAACCAGGCCAGACTGTTAACTTTACTTGTTTTCATCCATTCTCAATTCAAAGAAGATTGAGGAAAGCTTGTCCTTAAGTATCTTGTGTGGGCTCTAGACAAACAGACCATCAGTCTTGCTTCCCCTTTGGCTCTATCTCCGATGCTCACCTCCTGTCTACCTAGGTCTCTTTCCTTTCATCACCATATGCTTTTCTGCTTCTACCTTTATATCCTGCCCTCTACATACCTGGAGCTGACCTGTTTCTTGTCACCATCTTTACTGTCAGATTTTGTACAGTCAGGCTCAACCTTTCCTGACGACAGCAGCTCCATTAGGGCACCACAGAGTACATTTGCCATTTCCCAGCTTTTCCTGCAACCCCACCTGAGGAGCCCACACTGCCCCCAACTTTCTCACATTTGTCTGGGACTTCTCAAGAACTGAGCACCAATCAGAAGCTGAAAATATGTACCAATTCTCTGGAGCTTCAAACTGATTTTGATTCTCTCCTAATCCTTTTAAACATGATGTTTTTAAATTAAGAGTAGCAGAGACAAAGTGATTTAGGAAAATGATAATGTTATCCTAGCCTATTTCAGTGCCACTCTAACATCATTAAGAAAATTGACTGTCAGATTTGATCAATGTTGTTGAAATGAACTGTGATCATTCCCAGAGTAGCTGGAGTAAAATTCTCACCCAGCAGGAGCAGTTTTAATGACCGAAGAATAGTAACCAAGAGAAGCAACTGAACTTCAATGCATTGCTGACCTCATACCCTACCTCTCTCCTCTCTTTTTCAGGCACAACATGTTTGATTGCTCTGCTATCAGATAAAGACCTCACTGTGGCCAATGTGGGTGACTCACGAGGAGTCCTGTGTGACAAAGATGGGAATGCCATTCCCTTGTCTCATGATCACAAGCCTTACCAACTGAAGGAAAGAAAAAGGATAAAGAGAGCTGGTGAGATGTGACTACCTCTAGAGAATGTCTGCCATCTTGTTTGGTGGACAAAGGGCTTGCTTGGAGAACTCCTGGGCTAGAAATTAGTGGGTCACTACAGAGGCTGCTACTGAGGTAGCTGTAACTTTGTAATGTTTCCTCCCAAATAAATGGCCACTGAATTTGCCCCTCCTCATGACTAAATATTCCAGAAGGGAACCGCTTTTCCAGATTAATAAGATCTTTGGGCCATTGCTTCCTGCTTCATTCTCATCTCTTACCATATTCTGCTTCCCTTTAGTCATGCCAAATTACTAACCATTTCCCCAAATGACCTTTGTTTCTGATACCTCTCTGCCTTTGCAAGTGCCATTCCCACTCTTAGTGGATGACAATTACTTGTCCCTTGAGATTCAACTTCAAGATATCCTTTGGAAGCCTTCCGTGTCACTGTGGCAAAGGCTCCCCCAGTCTAGGTTAGGCCTTATGTCTTTCTACAGTATCCAAAGTGGTCCTCTTGGATCACCTTTCACAATGCATATATAGCTGTCTTATGTTCCTCACTGAGCTCTTTGAGGGCGAGAACTTAGTCTTGTTCATCTCCATCACTTAGTTCAGTGATTAGTATAATAAATATTTCAGAGCATGGTGGAAGGGTCCCTTATTAATTTGTCCAACACGCCCTCTACCCAAAAAATTTCTCATGGAGTTTACATTCTGAAATTGGCCTAGGAGTGGGGAATGGATCAGATAGATGTTAACCAAAAAAATTAATTAGTAAAAATAACCAACTTATATAGAATATTGCAAGGTGATAACTGCTATGGAGAGACATAAAGCTGGTATGGGAATGGGGAGTGTCAGAAAATTGCAGTTTTATGAAAAGTGGTCCATATTGGCTTCACTAAATTGATATTTGGACAAAGACTCCAAGGAGGAATATCAGTTGATTATTCTATTTTCAAAACTAGATTTGGGATAGTCTGTGGAAGAAAAGAATTCCTTTGCTCCACAGACTGACAACTTTGTGACACACCAGGCAGCAGATCAGCTGGAAGTACAATGCTCAGGCACACTAGTCTCTAACCAGCATGGATCCCTGCTGTCTGCGGTTTGACTTTCAGTCTCTGTAGGTCAGCTTTTGCTCAGTGAGTAAATGAAGTGAATCTAATGAACATTTAAGTTTTCACAGTAGGACTCTGTACTATGGAGTCAAAAAGTATTTGCATTTTATTACAACCCCTTGCTTCAATGACTGCTTGAGATGCAGAATAGTTTTGAATGAAAGCTTTTGGTCAGGTTTCTGTTGATGAGATGGAACAAACAATGATTTCAGACATCTATCAAGGCTTGATGAGCTCCAGAGAGTGTTAGCAAAAGGCTCTGACTTCCTTAAGTGTGAAGGTAGCATCTCCCCACAACTGCCCTCTGTGAGCCTGGATTTAAGATCTAGGTGGCCCACTCTGTTGTGGGCTGATCATTCAGAAAATACTCTCAGGCTGAATTTGGTCCAAATTAGAGAGCCTTTATTAGCCATCTGGCTATACCCACCTCTGTGCACATAAACTTTTAAGGATAAAAATAATTTCACCCTGTGCAGGAGTCTGCAACTAGGTAAAGCAAGCTTGGTTTCAGAAGCTAAATTTAACAGTTATGTGGGCTGTTACAATGTTACAAGTATCTGTCTGCATAGCTGGGGATTTTTTTTTTTTTTTTTTTTTTTTGGTTAGGGGTGGAGTTTTTTTGTGGTTGGGTAGAGGTTGCAGCAATTAAAGTTTCTTAACAGGTTTAACTGCACACTCTAATTAAGATAGTTCCTTTTAAGACAGATCACTTAGGCTAAGTTCTTAAGTACTTCTAACTTATAACCAGAATAGCTTAATATTACTTATCCTATAATTTTACCTTATCTTGTTTATTGATATCCTATAATCTATATGATGCTTACTGACTAAGCTAAGCTATAACAACTCTTGCATAACACAGACAAGGATGTGTACATGATACATCCGGAGCTGTCATCTTTGTATCCAGTACTCTGTTTTGAAATATCACTGCCATTTCATTCTCCCTCCTCTTCCCTGTCACACCCAACACCCCACTCCCACCCTACAGTGATTGTATATAGAAGTAAATTTGGACACCAATTCTAAAGAGATTAATCTTACCTGCTCTGTTCTTTATTTGGTCAAGGGTATATTTTATAGGAGGCTTAAAGAACAAGGATTAGTTTTGTCATCATTATGTGTGTCTTCTCTGATCAGTGTTCCCACTCCTGATTAGTGTGACAATAAGCTCCAACCAGTCTGGGCCAAAAACTGTACATAATAGTCTTTCTCTATTCCTTATGCTGTTTCCAATAACAACATCACCATCAACTGCCACTCATTTGTGTTCATTCTGTTCTAGGAGCCAAGCCTAGAGCTTTACAGACTTTTTGTCTTTAACTATCTTATGAGGATGATAATCATGTCACAGCCAAAAAACTGGCACCTTAGAGAAGCTTGTGTGTTCAGTGACTCACAGCTAGTGAATGGGAGGACCAGAATTGAAATGAGGACTGACTCCATTGCCCATGTTCCTGCCTACTAGACCACGCTTCCTGGAATGCTCTCCTGCATCCCTGCCTATAGAAGTCCTATTCCATCAGTCAAGCCCAGATTTAACACCCATTCCCCTATGCTCATCACACCCAGAAATCATCCCTCTGTCCTCCCTCTGCTTTCAGCATTTAGCAGATACTATTCTCCCCTAAAAGAATACTACTTTGTGCTTGTAGCATTTAATATGTGTTTTCTTATCTCTCCTGCCAGACTGTCTATTTCTTTAAAGAAAGGTCTGGATCTTGTATAATGTTGTATCCTACAAATTGCCTTCCACGGAGTAGGTATTTAATAAATACCTGAAAAAAAAAAAGTGAATGAACAGATTTTAGCTCCTTTAAAGAAAAATAATAGATAACATTACTGAAAGCCTATATTATTCAAGCATGGTGCTAAATGATTTATATGGAATGACTCCTTTATTTCTCACAATAGTAGATAATGTCCCCATTTTGCAGTGAGACCAAGAAACAGAGAGAAAATTTCATCCAAAGTCACACATAGCTACAAGTGACAGAGCCAGGAATCAAATCCAAGCAGCCTGGCCTGGGCCTTCAATGTATATATTAAAATGTACTTTTCCTTAATCCCAAACCTGTTTAGGAGGGAGGGTATCAGTCAGCTTGTTCTCTACTGTGACCAAAAGACTTGACAAGAATAATTAGAAGAGGAAAAGTTTATTTGGGGGTTCATGGTTTCAGAGGTCTCAGTTCATAGACTCTGGTTCTATTTGCTATAGGCCTGAGGTGAAGCAGAACATGATGGCAGAAGAGTGGTAGAGGAAAGCAGCTCAGGACATGGCACCAGGAAGCAGAGAGAGAGAGACAGAGCTTTTCTCACCACAGACAAAAAATATACCCTAAAGGCACACCCCAAATGATCCACCTCCTCCAGCCACATTCTCCCTGCCTGCAGTTAACATCCAGTTAATCCCTATGAGGAAATTAATACACCGATTATGTTAAGGCTCTCGTAACACAATCACTTCACTTCTAAACTTTCTTGCATTGGGTTACACATGAGCTTTGGGGAGGCACATTATATCTAAACCACAACAGTTTTGAGATGTACATAGGGGCATCCAAGGGCAGCCGTAGGCTAAGTGATCATTCCAGTGATGTCTCTGTTGTCTGTCTACCTGCCTTTCAGCGCTCCCTTGCCACTTTCCTCCAGTTCCCACCCTAGTGCTCTCTACTGCAGTCACTGAGCTTCCACAGGGTTAAAACTGATGTCTCTCCCTTGTGTGTACCCTACCATTATACTCTAGTTGATATATTCCTGAAGGCCTTAGAGGTTTAAGGATGAGGGCATGAGGATCTCCTGAAAGGCTCTCAGACTCCAAGCCATGCAGCAGAATGCTGCTTGGAGAGGGAAAGTACTGTGGCCCAGCTTACACATAGTAGGTCAACCTGTTGTACATGTTCACAGTGCCAGGTGTGGGAGATATCAGCTGGGCAAGCTAATGGGCTTCTTCTGTCTTTCTAGGTGGTTTCATCAGTTTCAATGGTTCCTGGAGGGTTCAGGGAATCCTGGCCATGTCTCGCTCCCTGGGGGATTATCCGCTGAAAAACCTCAATGTGGTCATTCCAGACCCAGACATCCTCACCTTTGACCTGGACAAGCTCCAGCCTGAGTTCATGATCTTGGCATCAGATGGCCTATGGGATGCCTTCAGCAATGAAGAAGCAGTCCGATTCATCAAGGAGCGCTTGGATGAACCTCACTTTGGAGCCAAGAGCATAGTCTTACAGTCATTTTACAGAGGCTGCCCTGATAATATTACTGTCATGGTGGTGAAGTTCAGGAATAGCAGCAAAGCAGAAGAGCAGTGAACCCTTCGGGGTCTCAGCTGCCTTACACTAAAGGACTTTTGACACACTGGTCTCTTTTAATGTAGTGAAAGGTGTGGGAATTGTAATTAGGATCATCCATCCCAGACACTGAATCCCCACCCCACCCCCTTCAGTGATGAACAGAGGATACCCCTGGCCAATGTAGTTGAGTGGCTGAAAAAATGGTTTCTTTGTTTCCCCAACTCTTCAATGTCCAAAATATATAAATAGGTAGCTGTAGATCCATATGTATGAAGTGAATAGCAGATGCACCATGTATTCTCCTTCTTAAGATTCTTTTTAAGATCCCTTTCAGGGTCCTCCAGGCATCAGCCTTTATGTCCCCTCTGAAACCCTAGGTGGGACAAGCCTCCCTTCCTGCATAAGACAGGCCATTGTGACCTATAAGTCAGGGGCTGATGTTCAGTCAAGGGGCAAAGTAGTCCTAGAATGTGTGATCCTCCTGAGTCCATGTTTTCTCCTGAGCAGCAGCCTGGAAACAGATTCGGAACTGTTTATGATTTGTGGGCTGCTCTTGGAGGCTGAGGAAAACTGTGAGGATGGGCGATCAGTGACAGCTCCTGCACAGCAGAAATAACCCTTTTCCCTTCCTCCTTTTATTAGTTAAATAGATTTTGGGTACCACCTGACCAGCCTTTGTATGTTTATCCTAATCACGCATGACCTTACCTTTTGCTTACACCTTCCTGTATGTAATGGGCAATTATTAATTTCATAACAGACACCACAATTTTTCATCTTAGCTAATCAAGAAATCATATTAAGGGAAATGAAAACCGCAAATCACAATGCCATCATTCCTTCCACCTTTAAGAACAGGTAGAAGAAAACCATATGAATGAGCCACAGTGCTCCTTGGAAAGCTGGCAGTTTGCACTGGAAGTGAAAGGAGTGAGCAGGTGAGATTACCACCCTGAAGTGAACACCAGCTGCAAGTTTTTGTGAAGTTTTCCCCAAGCCCTAGCTTAATAGCTTTTGAGCATCTTTCAAGCAGTATTTGGAGAAGCAACAGCCTAGAACTGCATGTGTTCCTTGAAGCCAGAAACACGTTCCCAGACTTTGGAATTATGTGGCGAACTACTGGGGCATGCTTTTTCTCGCCAATGAAAAGGATGAAGCTTTTCACATTTGGTTGCAAACCTCTATCCACATTGGGTACCCTTCCTCAGGCAAAGGCAAACTGCCCCACATCGACTGAAGGGACTTGTGGGGGACTTGTGTGCAGTGGCAGCAAAGCTGGATGAGAATTCAAACAAGAACCCACATCGATAAGTGGCCTAGAATTATTTGGAAGCCTGGCTTTGCTGTTCTCTGTTTCCTATCAATCACCAAAGTCATATTTTTTCCAGCCTCAGCATTTTATAAGTTAATTTATAGAAAATGCTGGGTTATCCTCTTTGCCTGAAGAAGGCAGCTCTAAGACTTCTGTTGCATCCCCACCCGCAGGTGCACCTGGTTTTATTCTTTCTGAGTGGAAATTAGTCCTTACAAATGCCTGTTCACTGGCCACCTCCAACCCATGGTGCCCTACCCTCTGTTCCCCTTCAGCTGCAGAGCTTTCCTGAAGTAGTTTCCAAGAAAGAACTCAGGAGAATGATTAACTTGTGCTGCGAAGAACTGCAGTTTGTCTTGATACTTCCAAGAACTTACCTATCTTTGACTGCAATGAGAATTAATAATGATTTCCCAAGATTTTATATTCTGTATTTTCCAACATTAATGTTAGATTCTTGATTATTGTTTTTTAGCCATAGAATGTTTTAGTACAAAATATCTGCTGCCATTTTAGATTTAAGCAGTTGTTCCTTGAAAGACACTGAACAATTGGATGTGTGTATTTAGGGCAGAGGTGGGAACAGAAATGTGGGAAACAAATTATTGTGATCAGTGATGGGCTTTCAGACCAGGTAGCTGAGTTTGCTTGAATATCTAGGATGTTCTGATCTGGAATCACCCACCATTTAACTGAAGGTCCAACATTTTACAGTTCACAGTATCTTTCCTTTTTATATTTTTGCTTAATGCAAAAATGCATAGCAAGCGAAGTACATTGTATTGTCCAAAATGAAAATAGTGAAGCTTTGGTGAAGATGAAAAAGGTACCAAATTAGTAAATTCTGTACTTATTTATTTAAGCAAACTTTCTTAACAGATACAGTGCTGAGTGTACAAGATATGTACATGCCTTTTTTAAAAAAAAATTGAGGTTCACAAGGCGTCTTCTAAATTTTGCTTTGTAGAATTAGTTCATTTCTGATTTTAACGAAATAGAGTGTAAATCTCACACTCCTTTTCTGCCTCTCCCCCCCCTCCCTACTATGGTTTGTAATTTTTAAAAGGTAGAAGTATGGACAAAATAGTGGTTTGATTAATTGTTATGTACAAAATCAAAGTACTCTGTTCCCTTCCCCTGTCCTCCTGGAGCTCTCTCTCCCTGATCCATTTCCAGTTGTTAGGGGTCTGAGAACAGCACATCTGGGCTGCCCTGTGGTGTACTGGCTGCCTTCCCCACTTCTCTAGAAGCTCAGGAAAGTTGGATCTAGCCTATAGGGAAATTGAGAAGTCTGCATGTAACCTTCCCTAAACAGCACTGCCAAAGCTTTGGAATTGTCATCTGAGACTGCCCTTACTCCCTAGTTAACCTGAGTTTGAATTGCCAATAGTTTCCACAGTGCCAAATTTTGGGATGGTTCTACAGTCTTTTGGAAATGAAGCTGGGAATGACCACATGCTCCTGAGCAAGAGGGCAATCCCAGATCTTCATTAATGCACTGCTCTGCTGCTGCTTCTTTGGCAATTTGTACTTATTAAATGGGTTAGAAATGGGAGGATGGGAAATTTTTAAAATTCAGTGTATTTGCAATTCTTTAATCATAGGAATAAACTCTACTTATGTAGAGAGCTCCAACACTAGTCCCCAAGACCTGAATTTTTTTTTAATGTGATCAACTTATACTAGGCAATTAACTCTGAGTCACTGTTCTGATGCAACATGACTATATGCATATATACTCATTACTGGCAACTAATGGCTACATTCTTATCCTTGCTGTGGATTGAAGATATTGGCCTATTGTATCTTGCATATGTGGAGTATTACACAGAGAGTGTTATATAGTAAAGGAGCTGCAAACTGGATAATTTAAAACACCTTATTGACTTTGACATTTTGCACAAATGGTAAAAGGGACTGAATGACAGAATCCTCTCTGAAGTGGATCTAGGAGACTGATTACATTATTGGAATGAGTCACTGGAGTATGTGGAAATGCATGAGGGATTTGCAAGAAGCAAAGAAGGGATTACTTTTTCCTTTGCCAGGTATACCTTGATTTTCCTTTTTTTTTTTTTTCCTTTCCTCCATGAATTGTTGGCAGATCTCTCTTGCAACTATTTCAATGTAAGGCTTACATTGAAAAAGGATGAAATTTCATTGTACATTTGAAAGTATAGGGAAATATGCTTTATATAAATCTTTATTTTCCAATTATTTCAGAAATTATTTTTCCCTTCTTTCAACACATCATAAATTGATCTTCCCTTTATAGTCCCCCAGAATTACCTTTGCATGTTATACCAGCATTTCCAGCAGTTCTGGAAAAATGTAATGACTGTTAGCTACTATGCTGGGGCCTGTTTAATTGCATCTGGACTAAAACATTATCTGAATTTTTTAGATTGTTAGCTGCACACTAAAAAATAGTAGAATCTGACGTTCCCCAAAGTGTGTTCCAAAGAATCAAGTTCCAAAGATGCTCTTCCAAATATGGGGCTTCAGGGTCAAAGAAGTTTGGGAAACATGGTCTTAGAAAGTACATCTAAGCTCACGGAAGCCTCTAATTTAAATATACTGCAGTGGAACAGGAAACATACCACATGCATAATTTCTGTTAGCTCTGTGTTTCCCAGATTAATTTGACTGCAGAACCTTTTAAAAATAATACCTAGTAACATTCAAGGAATACACTTTGGGAAATTCTGATATATTGAAATATGTTTTCTCATTCCAATAACATTCAAGGAATACACTTTGGGAAATTCTGATATATTGAAATATACTTTCTCATTCGCCATGACTCTTTATAGTAGCAGTACAGTTTGCAATTTAGTAGCACTAATCCTTTCATGGAAGAGGCTGATTAAATAGAAACAGTTTAAAAATAGTCTTATTTAATGTGACCACTAGCACCTCATATTGATAGCAGAAGTCTAACAAGTTTTCCCTCATGTGAATTACAAGTAAGAGCTTTACCTTAGACAGGAAGTTCTCGAGTTCATTCCAAGATCTTTCAGTGCTTTTTTGCAGTTATATTTGCTCTCCAGGTTGAATAAATATTTTTATGTTTCATCACTATATGTGATAGTTTAAAATATAGAGAAAATAATAGAACAGGAAAAAGTTCATGCTTGATTTTAACTCACTTGAAATTTTAACTCAATTTTCAAAATTAACTACATTGAATAATAATGGAAGTGCAAACTTAACACCTATTTACTCTTTATTCTCTCTAGATTCAATGAAATAATTTAAAATCAACTGGAGCTCCTAGGTCCTAAATGTCTGTTATATGTTATCCTACCTTTCATATGTTTTATATATATATATTTAGCAAGTTATCTCTTGCCTAACATGTATGGATTGATCATAGTTCCATAATACTCACTATCAGTTTGGGCAGTTTGTTTGGGATGCCATTACAGATAACCCCCCAATAATGGATGAAACATGGTACAGAGTGAATTTAGGGTAAAATCAGTAATTTAAAATTACATCCAATATTTAGGAATCTGCCCACCCTTTGAACCTATCTAAAATCTAAAGGTAGGATCCCTTACTCTAGGTGGCATATTGCAAAGGGCAAGGGACAGTCAGTACCATGAGGCTTCCATTGTTTCTGAATGTTTTCTAATATGTAAATTTTTGCTGATTCCTAGTAATGTTAATGCTCTGTCCATTATTCTTTTTATAACTGTTAAGCTACAAACTATTACACTGAAGGTTGATTATGGTAATTTTTACATGTTTAGTAATAACCACACCATCATATGTACAATCACTTTAATAAATCCAACTTAAAGACTTTGAGGAAAACACGTAGTAACTGTTCATTTTGAAAAATCATCATAGGCATTTTCACTATCTAAAACTTCAATGAAACCAAGCATGAAGCAAAGGAATGGGTTGTATTTAAAGATGTACACAGCTTCATTTATTCAAGGAGTTTTATAATCTGGTATCATTTAACTATAAAATCCTGCCTGCCATTTGCTGATTTGTGTGTGTGTGTGTGTGTGTGTGTGTGTGTGTGTGCGTGCGTGCGTGCGTGCGTGCGTGCGTGCGTGTGTGTGTATACTGGGAATTGAACCCAGGGCCTTGCACTTGTTAGGTAAGTACTCTACCACTGAGCTACACCCCTAGCCTTTTTTATTTTTATTTTTAAGACATGGTCTCACTAAATTGCACAGACTGGTCTTGAACTTGTGTTCCTCCTACCACAGCCTCTCCAGAAGGTGGGATTACAGGCATCCACCACTGTGCCTAGCCACATTAATTCTGGAAACCTCCAAGACCAGCATTCCTAGCTCTGAGCACAAGCAGAATCTTATAAAAGCTTTGGTGGCTGGTTATGGGGTAGGAGTTAGGGAATGAGGAGTAGCAGGAAAATTGGCCTGGGTCACTTGCTACCTCTACAGGAGCAAGACTGAATTAGCTACACATTCTCTTGTCACCTTCTAGCATGAGTCAATCCAGAAATTAATGTGATGAATTACTTAAAAATATTTATATTTTAATTAGATAAATCATTATTTTAAATGTGTTCATGTAGAAACAAAGGTAGAAATAATGGTCAAGGAATTGGGAGAGGATGGCCTTTGGGATAACCAGATATGAAAATATAAAAGTAGGTAATCAGAGATGTAAATTACCAGGCTTTTCCCATATATAGGATGTGTTCAGTAGTGATTCCTGACATCTGCACATAGATTAGTAAGATACAATTGTACTTTTTAAAACATCAATATTCTAAAAGGGAAGTCAGGGTTTTTTTTTTTCAATAATGTAAAGTGGTAAAATTATAGACCCTATTCCATTTTTTTCCCCAACAAAAACAGATATGGTATCATTTATTGCTGTCCTGAACACCTTTACTGTCCTTTCCAAATCTTGGACATGCTTTTACTCTGAATCCTTAGAATTTCTGCATTTGCAAAAAGGAACTACTCCTTTTTTAGAATTTTTAAAAGATACTAAATAGTTGGCCTTTCATTTTAGATTGCCTGAATTAAACTGAAATCAAATAAACACAGTCATGGTCACAACTGAGAGTGTTTTAACATAGTGGTAATTTTCCAAATGCCAACACGAATACTAGTGAGTACCAATTTATAAGAGACAATTTCACGAAAATGAACCACATGATAATTTAATGTTCTTGCTTCATATAATGAAAAGGGTCATCTTGCTCATATATATTTTTTTTTTAAAAAAGTAACCCTGCAGAAATGGTGCTTTAGACATCTCTAACTCAAGAAAATGGTATCTCTTGAATACATTTTAAATTGTCTTCCTCATAGTGTATGAAAGAAAAAAATGGTGACTGCTGAGTATAATTATGGAAAGATAAATTTACTACATGGGAAAAACCTAGAATCTGCCTTGGGACATTAACCAAGAATATTTTTCTTATTTAGACTCCAAGGCTATAACCAAAAAGGCTTTATGTATTTATTATCTTGATTATCCTTTTATCTTGGGCATATATTCAGAAAGAATAATAGATGCAACAATGGAAAAACTGATAACTTTTTTTCTATTATAAAAAGCAGTCTTTGCCTTTTTCATTTATTTGAAATTCACTTTCACATTGAAACATTAACATCTACCACATCTTTCATTTTAGTCTTCAATTACTAAAGTAAATAATTTTGATTTATAGCACTTACACAACTTCGATTCAAATCATAAAGTTGAAATCTATTTAGTAACATCTCAACATTCCTTTGGGCAACCAGAAAAAAGAGAACAAAAAAGAAATTTTAATAAGTTTGGAAGAATGATTGTTCTGACAAGCCTGGAAAATGGTCATTAATCTATTAATTCCAGGAGCCCCCAAAGTGAACTCTGTTAATTTACATAATCTCTATAAGCAAACTGTATGAGGATTTTGAATACATATAAGCATCACTGCATTTATAAATATATCTACCTTATGAACAGATTTCACTGGGAAAGTCACTATTTTTAACAACAAGAAAGTCTGCTTATATATTTTATTATTTCCTTTGTTTTATTTTTCTGAGCACAGACCTTGAGCCAGGCAATGACTAAATGAATGTATCCAGTGGTGACCACTTAGGTGCCACCATTGCCTTCTTGTGGTTTACAGTCTATTCGGGGCCCCTTACAGATATTAAAACACTTAGTATTGGCTGAAGGGGTGAAAAACATATTTCATGATTTTCTCCAATGGGCTGAAATTCATAAAGCTAGAACAGAACTAGAATTTTTTTTTCTGCACGTAATAATAAATGGTAAGAGATTGGTATATATCTTGCCCACAGCCAAGCACACTGCATTAATTATTCTGTTACTAGATCATCTGGTTTCCCAAGGATGGAGTTGGGAGTTGAGAGACATGTAAGCTTTGGGGACCAGGAAAGAGGGTAAGATTGTCCCAATGTAGGGACAATATAACCTATGAGTGGTAATTTCTGATAACCTTATTTTAGATTTTTAATGTCTGGGTATCCTAAATGTCCTCTTCCCCAATTCTTTCACTATTACTTCTGCTTTTGCTTCTGTGTGAATACTTTTTTCCTTTCTTTTTTATTTTATTTATTTTTTGGTACCAGGGATTGCACTCAGGGGCACTTGACTACTGAGTCATATCCCCAGCCCTATTTTGTGTTTTATTTAAAGACAGGGTTCTCACTGAGTTTCATAGAGCCTAGATTTTTCTGAGGCTGGCTTTGAACTTGAAATCCTCCTATCTCAGCCTCCCAAGCTGCTGGGATTACAGGCATGCAGCACCAGCTATATGAATATATTTTAAATTAGAAATTATCTAATTAAAATATAAATGTTTTGAGATAATTAATGATAGCACATTTGACTTTTTAACTGGCTTATGACAGAAGGTGATGAGAGAATGTGTGTCCCAAGAAGCCTTCACCCTAATGGGATAGCAGCTATGCATGGGCTCCACGGGTCTGGTCAAACAGGTTGTCTATCCCTCTGTAAAAGAACAGGAGAAAATGGAACATCTCTCCATGGCCCATTTTTATTTTTGTTCCCAAGAATCTATAAAGTGTAACACTCTCATGCCTCAAAGGAGAACCCAGAACTGAAAGTATTTATCATTAGTATTCCTGGGTATAAGGAATTATACAGAGAATTAACATACTTCAAGAAATACAAACAGAAGACTAAAGCCAGACTTTTTTTAATCATAAATTTGGTATTCATAATTACCTTACACATTATAAGAATTTTAATTTTGAATTTTTGAGCAAAAATAACATTTATTTTCTGTATGGAGAAAAACTAAAATTCTAAATATAAGACTTTTATTTTTTAACCACAGAAGTTATGACCTCTTTCTAAATTCTTGGCCTGCTAGCCATCTTCCCTAGACCATGAGAATTCTATTGAAATAGAATAATTTTTTCCTCTATAGATAGTGAATGTTAAGAAATGAGACTATCTCATTGTGATCAGAAATTGACTTTTTGCTGTTACTTTGTTTTTAATCATGAGAACTTGTAAAAAAAATTCAAATTAATACAAACCAACTTCTGATTTGATAAATTAGAATCCCAGGTGGAGCCAGATGTGGTGGTGTGCACCTGTAATCCCAGCGACTCTGGAGGCTGAGACTGGATGATGGCAAGTTCAGGGCCAGCCTCAGCAACTCAACAAGGCCTAAGCAACTTCATGACAACCTGCCTCCAAAAAAGGGGTGGGGGGGGCTGCTGAGGATGTGACTCAGGGACCTTGAGTTCAATCCCCAATACCAAGCAACAACAAAAAAACCTATAGGTGGAGTCTAGTTATTAAGAAAGGAAAGGAGGAATAAAGGCAGGATTGGGAGAGAATGGAAAAAAAATACCATAACTGAACTGTATTTTTCAAAAGTTCTGATTTCTTATTCTGCTGAATTTAAATTTAGTAACTTTGTTTAAGCTTTTATTTATACTTATTTCATCATTAAATTTTTTCCTTCAGCATTTTCTTGCTACTTTAAAAATCACAAGGGCCTGTTTGTTTATAAAAAGGTACCAGGATTCACAATTTATTAGCAATGTTTTCTTTTAGGAATATTCAAATTATATTTGATAATTAAATCACAAGTCTAAATCTCAGGTCAAATGACTCTTACATCAATCAGGCTTTCTGGTAAGTTAGTTCCTTTTTAAAAACCATTCATAATAAATACAACAAAATCTTGACAAAACTTCATTACTCTTGGTCCTCTTCTGTTTTTATTGGTAATATTTTACACTTGTCTCTTAGAATCATTTGAAACAAAGTCAGTTTGGTGGAGCATTATCTGCAGTTGATCTCAGAGTGCATGGCATCCGTGGTCACTCAAAATGCATGGCACGTCATTCAGGTCCCTTTGATGTGTGCTGGGGTACAGTTAGCATTGTAGAGACTAATGTGTTCATGCAATCACTAATTCTATATTGTTGTATACAAAATGAACAGCTAAAATTTCACCTTACAACAAAAATAAATTAAAGCAAAAATAAACACATTAAAGTTATTAAGCTTTACACACTGGTCTGTTGATACTTTTTTCCTTTGATTAAGCTCATTTTCCATTCTAATGTTTCTTCTGGAATTTTACAATTTTGAATTGAAGTAACTGTTGTGTTGGGGTTCTACATAGAAAACAGAAAACCAATTTATGGCCAGAAGACAAGGCAAAAATGTAAAAGCAGGAGATTTGGAACAAAAAAGCCTCACTCTTTCAAAAACAAGGTAATTTTTAAAATGAATACAAATGTATGCAACAAAAATATTCCTTATTGGCATAGAACAACTTTTGCCCAGTTTGTAATCAGTATTAGGTAACAAGGGTCAAATTAGCTATACATGCATGTAAATTCCAGTAACATGACCTGACACCTTTGAGAAAGTAATCAAAATTGAATATCCATCTGCAAAGGTTTTCCCAAGATTCAGGAAGTAACACTGAAATTTGGATGCAGAGTGAAATAAAGGTGTACTTACATATACACAGACACACATGTAATCCTATTTTAGGTATTCCAAAAATGAAATGCTCAAAAGTGAACAGGGTCTAGGATCTTGCTGAAGAACAAAAGTCAATCATCAGACTGCTAGAGTTGGGTATAACAATGCAGGAAAAAAAAATGTGGCCTTTGATTCTTTGCTTCATTTTCATTAAAAATAATATTTGATACCCAGAATGAAAACTGCTTCCCTCTAATCCTGAGCTTTCATCTTTCTCTAGGTAGAAAATTTTTAACATAGATATGAAGAGTTTGATTAGAGATTTTTGTCATTCAAGTTAGAATAAATATTATGGACTCCAATACCAGCCACAGAGCCCACCCCCAAAAAAAGGAATTAAGAGTCATATTCTACCTTCATTTATAGTTATATTTTTTTCTCTCTCTGTCCCCATATCTCTCTCTCTCTCTTTTCCTTCCTCTCTTTGCTTTACTCTAGAAATATAATAGTGATATTTTACGTGTGTATGGGGGGGTGGTGGGGTAATGCACTAGGAATTTGGATATTAAGAAAGGTTTTCTCTTCCAGCTATGATGGATTGGCTGGTATTGTGTTAAGTAGGCCAAGCACTGTGAGCAACTGTAAAATGACAAAATGTATTAGGCAACTGGTTCAGGTGGTGAGATAGCAATCCTTGAGAGAAGGAATCGTAAGTTGTCCCATGGTCACCTTGGCTATCTGTGCAAAGACAATGCCCTAGTGTGGCAGACAAACTGATTCCAAGCAGAGCCAGACTGTCCTGAGGACATGGAAATCAGATTCAGGGGCAAGTGAAGCAACTAGAATCTGTGAAGAGGTATGGAGGAGGAATCTCAAAAGTTCATGTATGGGTTCCTTGTGAGTCCTTAACTGAGGGCTTTCCTCTCTCTGTGCTCAGGGTCAGACTGACTATCCAAGGCTTAACAGAAAGTGGCTGCTAGGAGATAGAGAAAAGACTAGAAATATTAGAGGTTGAACATTGCTAGGGAATAACCGGATCTGACCAAAGCAGAGTGGAAAGACCTCATTAACACATAGTTAACAACCTAGTGTCACTAAGACACTTTGAAAGGCTGTGCCTTAGGAGTAAGGACCACTGTCAAGGAATAAGGCCCACTACAGACCTACCCCAACTGATTCTAAAAACAAGTGCTGACAAGACTCACAAGGGAGAAAGAATTGGAAAGTTGAAGCTGGGTGTGGTGGCCACTTGGGAGGTTGAAGCAGGAGGATCACAAGTTCAAAGCCAGCTTCAGCAACTTAGCAAGACACTGTCTCAAAATTTTAAAAGGGGACTGGGGATATGATTCAGTGATTAAGCACTCCTAGGTTCAATTCTTAGTATCAAAGAAAGGAAAAGAAGAGCAATTTAGAGGGCTTTGGGAAATGCTTAGCCTTTCACTACCTGTGTTGGACAAACTGTAATCTCCCTAGATCCCAAACCCCAAGGTCACAATGGTAGCTAAAAACTAAACTCCTTCCTAAAACAAAAATCAAACTTCTTCAGAGGAAGATATTAGAATCCAAAATATTTACACGTTTGCAAAGTACTACTCCCATTGTCCAGGATAATATACCATGAAGAAATTAACTGACATTCAAGGATTGGTGGCACACACCTATAATCCCAGATACTCAAGGCCAACTTGGACCTTGTCTCAAAATAAAAAATAAAAAGAGCTGGGGATGTAGTTCAGTGGTAAAGCAACTTAGGTTTCATCCCTCCCCTCCACCTACCCCCTCTACACACACACACAAAGAAAGAAACAAAAAGAAATTATCAGACATGTAAAGAAATAGGAAAATGTGATCAATAGTTAAGAAAAAACATGAGTCTGCCCTGAGAGTCCTACAAATTGAAACTTGTAGACTCTATGACAGTCCTAATAAGCATATTCAAAAAGGTAAAGGCAACTATAGTCTTAGAAAATAAAGAATTTCAGCAGAGAAATGGAAAACTAAAAATGAAAATTCTGGAACGTAAAAATAACTGAAATGAAAAATTCACTGGATGGGTTTAAAAGAACTTAAAAATAGCAAAAATAGAGGTCAGCAAACTTGAGCTATATAAATTACCCAATTTGAAAGAAAGATAAGAAAAAAGAATGAAGGAAAATTAACAGAATGTCAGGGACTTGTAGGATACTATAAAATAAGACACATGTTGTTCAAATATCAGAAAAAGAGTAAGAATAGGGCAGAAAAATGTTTAAAGAAATAATGACCATACAGTTCTCAAATTTAAAAAAAAAATCAACGTGCAGAATCAAGAAAATCAGCAAAGCTACAGGGAAGCTAAATACAAAAAAGCACACCCTGGAGGCTGGGCTTGTGGCTCAGTGATAGAGTGCTTGCCTGGCATGTGAGACCCTGGGTTCTATCCTCATCACCACATATAAAGAAATAAAATAAAAGATTCATTGACAACTAAAAAAAAAAATTTTAGAAAAGCACACCCTACAATGAATCATTTTGTCCCCAAATATCAGCTATATAGATGTTGAGAAACCCTGCCCTGAAGCAGTTAAAATAATAATAATAATAACAATAACAATAATATAGAAAGCAAGAGAGGAAATGAAATGAAAAGCTAATGAATAATTAACTCAAAAGAAGGCAAGAAAGAGCCTGGTGTGTTGGTGCTTGCCTGTAATCCCAGTGGCTTGGGAGGCTGAGGCCGGAGAATCAAGGGTTCAAAGTCAGCCTCAGCATACTATGTGTACATACTATGTGGTTAGTTTACAGTTATTTTCTCTCCAGTTTCAGGAACATAGTATCTTCATGACTTGGACCTGATCAGCCATGCTATCAATTATTAAACACTAAAACTTAGAGTAATGTCAATTATGTAGTACATCACATTAATAGTGAAGGAAAAAAATCAATGTGATCATTTGATGCAGAAAAAGCATTTGACAAAATCTAATACCTTTCCACAATTAAAAAAGACACACACACACACACACACACACACACACACACACACAC